ACTACTTTTTTTTTTTTTTTCCAGAAGTGATAAAAAACAATGATCAACCAATCTGAGAACCATTAGGGTTGGTGCTAATGATTGGGCTGTATTGTTTGTTGATTCCTCAATGGATTAAATAAAAACATGCAAAGATATAGGAGGAGGCCCCAGATTAGTGAGAGACTGGACAAACATCTGAACATCCCATCCCCAGAGTGGACTTACCTCCTCCACATGACCCTCACTGTTCTCTGGCTCTGCCCCGGAAGCTTCAGGCAAAGCCATGGAGCTCTCAGAGTCTGGCTCCTCTTCAGTGATGGCAGCTGCACTCGGCTCTGATACTTCACTATGGAACAAAACAAACGAGACAAACATTATGATCAATTGTAGGATCTGATTTTTCTTAGTAAGTAACATGACCACTATGTTTTTCTTCATCTTGTATCTTTATCAATCAATCAATAATGAACATGATGTGCGGGACAAGCAAAGATGGGGGGAAACTGTGAAGGAGGACCAGTGATCTGGGTCACTCTTTACTATAAATACCTCTGTAGCGAACTGACACCCAGGGTCAACAACAGTCCATCTCGTCATAATTCAAAAAGAAATGACTGATTATGTAGATGTGGTCTCATCCATGATATTGATGCACAGAAGAGGAAGCCAGCAATCCCATTCATTTAACTTTGATAATATTGCACAAAGTGAAAATAATATAAATAGTAATCTTGGCCATATGAAACAGTTCTTGATTACCATTAGTGGAAATGTAGTATATTTAAATGAGGCTACTGCATTCTTCTGCCATCTCATATTTGTTAATGGGGAAACAGGTGAGCCGAGTCACCTTCCCTCCCTCCTACATTAAGGTGTAGCAAAGTTACACTCTTCTTACTTGTGAACCAGATACAATAAATATCTGTTAAAAAACAAAAAAAAAACCAACCTAATACTTAAACAAATGATATATATTTTTTTTATGTAACAGGGATCTAAAAGCTTTGACTTCGAATCTACATGAGAAGATTAAGGTGAACAGAAAACGTTCACAAAGAAAAAAGTACATCTAGTCTCCTCCCAGGGGGACTCGATGGGGATTGATATCATAGCATGGGGACCATTTACACTACTGAACAACAGCTGTCTTCTTTAATGATTCCCCATGAGAACAGGGAGATCATAGGAGCTACAGCCAGCCACGCAAATGAAAAATACCAATATGCCATATTTTCAATGAAACATATTTGGCGATTATGAATTTAGCAGTGTCTACAACACGCTGATTTTTCAGCCACCTGTGAGAAGTGGTCCTTCCACATTTTGATGCAGTAATGAAGACTGATGTACGGTGGTACTTATTATTTTTTCTGATGCAAATGTGGTAATAAATAAGGAATAAGAAACCTTATATCCATCAAAAACTCTTCGCTTGGCCATTGCCACCAACAAAAGGCTTCTGACTCGCGCACTTCACATGGACGAGCTTGTAATGTTCTCACTCACATTCAGACATAGCCTAATGTTATAACGACAAGATACTGCTAGCCCACTCGTGGATAACCTACAAGCAGCTGCCATCTTGTATGTAATGTCGAGACCACCGGCGAACACAAGCCATAGCGATTTTGCAAAGGTAGAGGCTGCTTGATGAAGCCTTGTGCCGCCTTCAGGCGTTCATTCTTACCCGTTCTTGTTGCCTTCGGACAGCATTACGCCGAGGGGGAAGGACACCGCACAAGGAAATGCCCTCTTCACGACAGTGACTTTGGACACTTGTGGGTTAAAATCGTGAACGGATTTGTGAAAAAAAGAAAAATCCAGTCACGTTTGTGTCTGCTGCTGTTTCGCGTCCACTGCGTCGGTTTCAGAGAAGCAGCGCATGCACGTCGGCCATGTTAGTTTGCCGGGACCAGAGCACCGGAGTCACGTTTCCTACACTGTAAAACCAGTTCCGCATCATGATTTTCACTATAAAAGCAGAAAACTGTTGATAAATAAGGGGGAAATCAATTGGGGGTGACTTATTTTAGCTAAAATATCATGCATCAACAAACTATGAGTGATATTATTTCTACAAATCAATGAAATTACAAGATACAAGTTGCATGTTATTACACTTTTTTTTTCTTCAAAATGCAAATAATGGTAATATTTTGAAATGTGAAATCTTTGTAATTTGCCCATGGACCAGCCTTTTACCCAACTATGCAAGGCCCTTATTATAGATCCATGGCAAGACCTCAAATGACCATGATCCTGACGGTGGTTATGGCCATGTAAAAAGTAAGGTATGTTGCTATGCTATATTTCACAACGCCAAGCCTCCAAATATGCATTCTTTTAAACAAAGAAATACATCTGAAGTTACTGACAAGAGACATTTTGATAAGTCAAAAATACACAATTCCAAATGTAGTTTCAGTGAATAAGCTAATCAGGAGAAGGCCAGACTGGTTCATAATTGCGAAGGTGGTGCGACCCCGTTGTGGCCAATTCTTCTTTGTAAAACTGCTCCCCTATTTATTTATTTTAATACAAAAATGAAATGCACTTCATACACATTCCTCACATAATAGAACATGCAGTACAAAAGCCACAGTTAATTGCAATTATCCAATTGAAATAACACAAATAAGCCCCACGGTGTTATGACTCATTCAGGACACATGAAATGGGTACATTTTATGTTATGATGAAAAAAAAAGTTTTGTCCGAAAAAATAATCCACGGGACTGATTTGAAACGTTTTCTTGGTGCAGTCTCTGCACTACATGAGGCACAACTCACAAAAGTGATTATTATGGCATTATTCTTTTATGTAAACAAACGCATCAATGAACTCCCTTCTGAGCGTGCGCTTCGTCTGTATCACCATAGAGACGGTGCTCTTCAGAGGGCCGCTGCCTTATAGTGCCCAAAAATCTGTACATTGTTCTTCTTATCATTTAAAATAAATAGTTCCATAACTATATCTATATATATTGCTTTGAAATATAAAAGCTTGCACATTTTTACTTTGACTAAAGTATGGGAATTACTTTAATACTTGATTTCAGTATCTATTTTAATACAGGTACAGGTCAAGACTACTACTTTTGCCACCCCACAGCCATGCCAAACAGTTTATACTGCCGTGTGTAAGAATTCAATTAGGTGCACAGGTCAAAAGCCTAGAATGGTCATAAAGCCGTGGACATACCTCTTTTGATGGTGTCCTCCTACAATCGCGTACTCCCTCTGCCGTTGGTGTGCCTCCTGGGCTCATAAATGTTTATGTTATTAGAAACCCTTTTGCAATACTGTAAGTCATAAATTTGTTGAATGTTACACACCTTGAGGTCCCTTGGTTTGTTCATATTTTCAGATGATGAAGGTGAAGACGAGTCAGATTCTGATGATGAATCAGAATCGTGGGATTCAGCAATCACTTTAGCAGAGCTGGTGTCTGGTGCCTCCTGTCGTGTTAAAATTTGTTTCCTTTTCCTCATATCTTCTATGTTCTCCTTTTCATCACACTGTTTCTGTTCTCTTTCTGATGGTTTTCTTTCCTTATTTTTGTCAACATTGTGTTTTTCTTTCTCGTCTTCATTCATTCTCTTCTCTTTTCTCTCTGTATCCAACTTGTGTAGTGAAGATTTATTGACAGCACTATCAGATCTGGCTGGAGTTTGGGACTCTGACATGTTGGCAGTTGAGGTGGACTGTGCCTCATCCCGTGCCTGTTCTGACTCCATCTTGTGGACCAGAAGAGAGAGGGGGCCAGGCCGCCGCTTTGCAGGAGGCTCAGGGCTACTGGAACGTGAGCTGGTGTCAGAGTCCTGCCTTTGCATGGTGGCTGAATGAGGAGCGCCCACCTTGGGTCGTTCTCCTGGCAGCTGATCTGCATCTGGGGGACTCTGCTTTGGAGTATCCGGGAGTGGGAACAAGTTTGGAGGAGGGGAAGGAGGAGGGGTGGGATGTCGTAACTGGAGTGGGCTTTGAATCTGAGGAGGAGGGATATACTGTGGAGGCTGAAGCTTTCGTTTGGATCTAACAGAAGCTGCAGCAACACTTGGGGGCTGTGGCTGTGGTTCCACTCTGCTGCTTCTGCGAGATGCAGCAGGACCCCAGTCATCGTCATCACTGTTATCATCACTTCCATCTCCTTCCTCACTGTCTTCACAAGCTGCTGGAGCCATCTCTATAGAGCGACTTGGGCGCAGTACAGGGGGGGTTGATTCACTCGGTGCCGTGTTTGCTTTCTCTTGTATCTGGGGCACAGCAGGAGGAACTCCTTGGAAACCAGGCTCCCCAAGCACACGTACTGACAGAGAGGCCACAGCACGTGGAGGAGAAGGTGCTGCTGGGGGCTCCTTTTGCCCTTGGTAAAAATGCTGAAATAAAGGTCTAGGAGGGTCCATTCCATGTATGCCTTCTTCAGATCCCAGAGCGGAACCAAAAGCAATCAGTCCCTGACCAAACGATTCCCCCACTTGATCATCTTCTGTACTTATCTAAGCAAAGGGTAAAAATTAGGATGGTATCAGATTGATAACATGAATAACATTTCTTTAGAGATGGGATTATATGGCTTGTGCTATATTACTGATGACATAATTATGTAATAATTGTTATTTCATAATTCATTAGTTAATTGTTTAAAACAGATATCTACCTTTGAGTCATAGGCAGGGTTTTCTTTATCTTCTCCAGTATGACATTCTGTAACAAGAACATGTCCATATATGTTTAAAAGTGTGTGAAAAGTGAACAGATTATATTATATTATTGTATAAAAGTTACTTGTACCATCACCCTCCTCTTCGTCTTCCTCATCCAGCTGAGCCTCTCGTTTCTGTTTCTGTCGGAGAAGCTCCTGTTGTTTGGCCAGATACTGTTTTATAAAGCTGTTCTGGCTCATCTCCTCTCCGATCTATGGGTCGAAAATAAAAATCACCTTTCAGATCTAGGTCAAGTTATAATTGGCAGAAAGAAAATCCTCCAACCTGAGAATTGGGTTGTATCCCTCCATGAGAAGAAGACTTCTGAAGGTTTTCCAACATAAGAGCCTGTGGAAAATGACAAATACAAATGATGCTTAACTCAATCACACTCCTTAAAATGCAAAATGAGTTTCTACATAAAAGCACTAGCAACTATGATCACTAAAGAGCCATAAAACTGCTCAGATATTACTGATAACTATATTCAACACTTTTGAATGCAGGTTTCTATATTTCGAATCTTAAAATCACCATTGTTTTGCTATATCAAGCGCGTTGATACCTTCAACTTGAGTCGTCCAGAGGCACATTTGCTTATTCTGCCTTCCAAACAAATTTTCTAGCCATAACCAAACTGTGATTCAAAGACCAGCCTCTACATTGGCATAATGAAGAACACTTTTGATGACCATTAGTGATTCATACCAAATCTTTATTGTGTTGGTTAATTTTTTTGACCAGTAGAGGGTTAGATACTGAACCCACACGCTGTTATGCTGCATTTGGGTTAGTTCTATTGATTTACCTTCTTTAGAGTTACTGTGAGTGAGCATGAAGTAGAATAACACATGTTTAGTATGCATCACAATGTGTAACAGCTCGACTAGTGAGCTAATAAACGTTAAAGCAGACTTTATATTGTATACAAACTACAGCGCTATTGATACGCGTACATAACATCAACTTACTCTCAACAGTAGCTAACCAGTAGCTAAAAGGCAAAATTATATTGTAACCCCCTTAATGATAACGGCGCATGTGAATTGTGTTTAGTTGGAGAAGCGGTGCTCGTAGAGAGCGCGTCTTTCCGTACCATAGACTGTACACTGTGTGCGCAGTTTACTCAGTAGCACAGGCCTACGCGATTTGACAGGTGCACATTACAGACAGACCGTGCGAAACATGTCACTGTTATTACCACTCAATACGCTAGTAATGCATTGAACAGTCGAGCGGTGCTTTCGTAAAAAGGACACACTGAAGCGTTACGTGAGATGGCACACATTTACCAATTTGTGTATTCCCGCTTCAAGCTTATCACACTGGCTTCAAGCGTTAACCCCCTACGTCTATTGCCATCTGCTAAACTTAGCAAGACTCGATAGAGGTCCATTCATGAGCAAAAACTTACTCCTTTTAGTCGCTTCATAAGTGCATTTTTCTGTCCAGTTTTGGGGAGATTTCTTTGCTCTAGTGCAGCTTTTAAATCCGCTACACGAAGCGATTGTAGAGGTTTCCCATCAAGCGTAATATCGTCGTCCGCCATTTTGCTAACGGCTTGTCCGAGACGTAGCTGGGATGCCCAACGTAATAACTCGGTATTTTCCGGATAGACTCGGCTTTTTCCGAGTCCTGCTTGTAAAATGGAACACAAAACAATCACATTTGTTTATTGCGAAAATGCATTGTGCAATTTTAATCAAAGCAAGATTTTTATGTAGTGCTCAGCTCTGCTTCACTGTAACAAAAAGTATCTTGTTTGGTAAAGAAATGGTTTACAAAATCTTACAAAATAAAAAATAGAACAGAAACTATATCCTCAAAATTGTTTTTCGTTTTAGGTTTTTGTAACCTAAGATATAGAAAAATTTAGACAAATCAAAGCCATGCATACAGTTCGCAAACTCCCCACATGAATTCTACAGCTCAAATGGCAGTTATGTTGCAATTCAACATGTAATAAAGTAATACTTGATTACAACACTAGGTGGCACAACATAGTAAAAAGGAACAAATAGCATGGCAATAGTCATATGCTTAACCCAAAAATGAATAAATAACATGTACATGGATCCAGCATCCCAACAATGTGTAGTTATAAGTTTAAATGTGTAAATAATTTGTAGAACCCAAACCAGCAAAATACGGCGAGACATGTTCAAACAGCCAAACTGGGGAGACAGGTTTCTTAATTATTATGAAGCCTTGGACAGGATCGTGGGAAAATAACAGGATCACGAATGTCTGTCACTGGTTATATTCATTGTAATGAATTGAGGTTATAACAGCAATATCACTCTGTACTTCACAAACCTTCACATGCCAAATGGCTAAATGTGTAACATAAACATGGAGCTCTTAAATTCTGGGCAATTATAAAATTAAGAAATTTGGAAAAGGCCATTCAAGGATTCAGGGGGGGGGGGGTGTTAAGTTATAACTCACAGTCTATGGTTATAGCACCTTCTTATCTACAATTGTAGGGCCACAGACCAAGAGAGAATGGAATGACAATATGTTGAGCGAAAGGAAAAGATTGCATACTCAAAGGGAAAAAGCTAAATTGTTCAAGCACACAATGAAAAACATATCAATAAGTTAACACAAAAGACGTGTGGCTTTAAAGCACACTCATAATCTTATAAACAGAAGGAATGAACCACACACCGGAAACAATGAAGATAGGTTAAAATAACTTCACTGAAACATGACCCTTTAAACAAATACATCATTTAAAAATATTTCTATTACGATATTTCTGCCAGACGTTGAAGTAAAGTCGAAAATCCAGCTGCATGCTGCGAGAGTTCAGCTACACAATCCACCATTTCCTGAGTGGCAGATAGTGATGGGTAGTTTTGAGCTGCTCCCTTGGTTGCCACAACAACAGCTTTTAAGGCCTGGCAAAGACTTCCACCTGAAGTAGTAATCTATAATGAAGAAAGGTAAAATTAGGATATGAACAAAAAAACACGTTTGGTTTTGATGATTATATAATAGTTTTACCTTTGTACGTAGATCTGAAGATGAAAGTAGTCGAGAAAGGGTGTCCCCAATAAACACTAGTTTGTGTGCAGTCACAATAAGACTTTTTCCTCTGGCAACAAATATACGGGGAGGTTGGTTTCCCTGTATACTACTAAAGAGAACATCAATGGCATCTGCAAGGCAGGATAGATGAGCTAGGCTCTGAGACGAGTAAAAAGCCAACAACTCTGAGTCTTCCAATGACAGAGACACTGGCAGAGGGGGTGATGGTGTCATCTACACACACAAATCAAAATAGAATTTATATCACACAATATATAATAACAGTTTGTCATAACATGAATATCAATGTGAAAGTCATTACAAAAGAATAGTAGCAATCATTGGATAAACTGTTCCCCAAAGATGCATGGTCATTGATCATTATGAATGAGACAAGACAAGACCATGCGTCACATATGCAAACTTGAGTAATAAAGAATTTGTAACAGCACGTACTGCAAATAAATAAAGAATTCGAATCAAAGACTAAGTATAGCATAAATAGCATGAGAATAGGGCTATACTGTCCTGTCACTGTTGTAGTTCAGCCCCCCCCCCCATGTAAGGAAAGATTGTGAAGGTTTACAAGTGACCAATTGTTGGCAGCCAAATGGAATAACTAAGGCATTCAGCAAGAAATGTTTGCCAAGGAAAACGAACAAGAACTCTAAAGGCTAATTAATAAACAGTATTGTACCCTTGTTTCAGCATTGATAGTGTGTCCATTTTCAGCTAGTGCATTTGGAGACAGATCAGGTTTACCCTATTGAATGGAAAGGCATGTTTATTTGGATTCAAAAGGAACAAACGCCAATATTTTCACAAAATTACCTGAAGTTTGACATAGCCCACACTGTCTCCGGTGTGTATTGGGGGACGTATAGGAGTCAGACCGATCCCTGCATACTCGTTGCTGGGATCATCTTCTCCATCACTAGAGCCCACTGTCACTGTAACTTGGGACTGAGAAGGTACTATGGGAAATTTTGGATGTGGAGTTGGAGGTAATGGCCGTTCCTGTATCCAGCTACCTTTACGGGGGCCCATCCCAACACCAGCAGTTATGCCCTCTGCCACTGGAAGGGCAGGTAGCGGCCGACGTGAAAGTGATTCTTGGGATGGCAGGCGAGGACGACTTTGTACTTGTAAGAGAAGGGAGCTTTCATCAAGAGAATTCTTTACCAAAGTGAGGAGGTCGTCAGATGGAGGTGCAGTTCCAATTGCTGACAACGCTGGTAATAGATCTGCTAAACGAGCCCACGCCTGTTGAAGAGGGGGTGGAGGATCACCACAGTGACTGGCCTTCCATGTCGACAGGATTTCTGCCAAAGAAGTGGCTAGGTCTCGTGATGGTAGAGTTGAGGGAGAACAGGACACTGTGGCTAACAATGAATGCACAAGGTTAGAAAGACAAGTCTTCCACTGCACATCGCCTGAGCCATTGCTGGAAACAGAGAGCCTACGAGTAGATGTGGAAGTAGAAGAGGTTGAGAGCTGCAGGACATCCACAGTTAATGCAGGCATGTCATAGATGCCACAGTCTGGCTCAGAGGAATCTCCACTACTGGCTTGTTTTTCAGAAGCTCCATGCAAATGCTCTCCAGGCAGGATTTTACTACATGAACCCTCTTGGCCTAAAGGAATTCCTGGAAGTGAGGGGACACTGTACACGCCATCATCACTGTCTTCTGGTCCGGAGGCAGTTTGCTGGACCTCTGAAGTGCATACAGCAAGAGCGTGTGTTGGGACATCATAGACCTATAATAAAGAAATAGTATCATTGAATTAATGTTGCTCAATGTTATTGTTTAATAAACAATAACAATACATCAATTAAATGAATAAGAAAACACAACATTAAGTTGTTTGATGTATTAAACAGAACTGTGAAAAATATTTTGGTATTTATACTTTGCCAGAGGTCAGAGTACAGGCTAGGGGAAGAAGATTATGGTCCAGAGATTGAAATCCATGCACATTTAATCTGGAATAAGCAGTCATAAAAAATTGGGCCACATTTGAAAATGCAGTTTACAGTATTTATAAAACGGTAGAAGAAAAAAGCACTTAAGCAAAGATGTGGTCAACTGACAAGAATCCGTTGGGGGTAGGGTGGCACCTGTGTTAGTAGTGGAAATATGGCCATGGCATGGCCTAACACATGGGTGAGAGAGAAAAAATAGCAGCAGCCTTTGGACTGGATAGACAGGCTCTTGAAGAGACAGGTGTGGCCTTGCCTCGGAGTAGGGGGCAGGGAAAAAGAAAGATGGTAGAATGAAGTATTGTTAAGTAAACAAATATTCCAAGAACTTCATTTGCCACTTGAACACATTTCACCTTGTTTCTAGACACAGTTTGGAATATTAAATAAAACTAAACATTACACTTTGATTTTCTGGAATGTCAGTAAGTAAGTATTTAGTCAATATAGAAAAAGGTGAACACATGTTTAATGTTTCGTTGTTTACCTCGGCCTCTGAATCACTGTGTGGTGGCACACTGCGAGGAGTATCATAGATGCCATCATCTTCAGAGACAGAGGAGTGTGTTGTGCGCTGCCATCGTCCACTTGGAGGAGTATCATAAACCTACGGAAACAAATGCATGTGAATCCTGTATACATTATTCATGTAACGTTATCTTCAGTAAAACCTCTACATATGGAATTTACAGCGTTATATCTTCTCTGCAGTATAATTGGGTTCATAAATATTGACACAATTATAATTTTTTTGCGTCCAGCTAAATATTTTAAACAAACGAAGATGTGACCTTTACACGAAGAGTGTGCAAGGCATCAGTTCCTATAAATTCAAATACAGATCCAAAGACCATAACAATTAGAGAAGCAAGCAGTCATAAAGGCTCAAGCTAAAGTCAAAAAGATACAAGACACAACATTAGGTGTGGCCAAAGCAACAGTTATGAAGAGTCAGCAACAACTAAATCTAGAGGACGAAGGTAAAAAACTGAACAATTAAGGGAAAACAGAGGGTTCAGCTTTCAATACTGTTTAACCTACTGGTGAGCTGTCATAGTCATAACAGTTCTGGAAAAATATTTTATCAATAGATGAAGCAAACATTAACTTGCACCAGAATGATGGGGCGAGAAGGAGAGGAACTGTTCCTGAGACCAAACATCTCAATGAAGCATGATAGTGTCATGTGCTACTAGCAAGAGGGTCACGGGTTGCACAGTTCACAGATTTGGTGGTGTATAGACTTAAAAATATAAGAATTGTGTCATTATTCTAATATTTATGGACCAGATTGTAGTTACATGTTATAACAGGTTGCATTATTCATCCAAATGACGCAAGAGAAACTGGGCGGACAATTTCCTGCACCGCCAAATCTTGCAAGCCGCGCTGCGTATGGATGGATGTAATTTATGAATTGTAATTGTGCTGCTGAAACGTAGGTAAAGACATTCTGGGAAGCATAGAGAAACAAATAGCATATTTGGAGTCGACTGAATGCAAAGGCGTATGAATCACTCCAAATACAAGGTAGAATAAAAAAGGTATATTCTGAATAAGACTTCTTTACAGCCAACAACAAATACTGGGACAAAGCTTACCTGGTCGCTTATAATGTCTGGTTTGTCTAACACTTGTTCTTTAATGTTCAGTGCATTGATGCTTTTCTCTTTTCCATTACCGATCCCGTCTTCTTGGATAGGAACAACATTCTGCTTGTTTTTTACTTGCTGACATAAGATTTTGGCTGCAGAACTATCCACCGGTGGGGAAGATGACTGTTGTAGATCTTTCCTAGTAACACTTCGTACTGGCGGGGCTGGAGGAGGAGGCTTGCGTACAGAATTAGGTGATCCAGGACGCCTGCCCTGCGCAGCACGGACAAGTAAAGGAGATCCACGTTGAATGACAATGCCTGGCTTCCCCCTACCAATAGCGATAGATGGTGCTCCCTTAAGTTGACATTTTGGCGCAGACTGAACAGGTGATTGGTGAGTGTTTTGTGAGGTTGTAACAGGGTTGGGGGCCTGATAGAATCCAGGTGCACCATGACCAACTTTGGGCTGAAGGCAACTTGCAACAGAGGATCCATTTGTATTTACTCCCCCAGTTGGTGTTTGGTAAACATCCTCACCTGCAAGAGGTGTACCTTTGGGAACCAAGTAGCAGTCATCATTGACAGTGTCTCTGGGCACCAAATAAGTATTGTCTTGTGAATCATCGCTGGGCCGTGATACTCCACTGGGAGTGAGGTAAACAGACTCAGAGGCCAAAATACTTCCTGGTTGCTTTACATGCTGAGCAGCAGGTAATGCCTTCGCTGGATTTTGATACAATGTACCCGATATGTCTGTTCCTCTTCCTCTTAAAGAAGGCGAGCGGGGACGACTGTTTACACCAATATCCCAGTCAGGTCGAGGCCTTGTCCCAGAACTTGAGTGGGAACGTGGGCGCCCACCATCAGTTCTGCGCAGTTCTCCAGGTCTTCCTTCACCCATAGCCAGAGGAGAGCGATAGACTCCATCTATATCCTCTGCACTACAGCTTACTCCAACTCGGGCCAATGCTGAACCAGGTGACAGGTAAACTGAGTCTTCAGAAGAGCCACAACAGATGTCTGAGCCTGGAGTTGCGGCAGTCTGCAGAAGACGTAGACGATTGGCAGGAGCAATCCCCTGACGTCCATGCAGAGAACAAAGCCACCAGCCTGGACCACCGGCTTGTTCTTGTTCTAGGACCATTAAGATGTCCCCCTTACGGAATGCCAACTCCTCCGGGCTTTCTGCAGCGTTGTCAAATAAGGCCTTTGCCAATACAGTCTGTAAGGAGGACAACATGAAAAAAAGTTCAGCAGTGATTCGATGAACTGAATATTTAACAGAAAGAAGCAAAACAAACAGGGTCATTGATATGGAAATAAGGCGGCCAAGACACTCAAACAACTGATTGTGAGGACTCTGGAAAGCAGGCACAATAGTACAGAGGAAAACTTTCTGTAAGGGGATAAGCAGCTAGACCAGTTTAGTTACAAATAAAAAAATGGAAAGGGACTGATAACGTATACGTCAAGCATCAAATAAAGATTAAGATGCACATAAAGAGCAGATCGATGATAAAATGGACAGAAGGTGACGGTAATAGGGACCAGAGGGAGGGGGAGGGGCACGGGGCACATCTGTCCCTCCGGAGCTTAATTGCCAACCTAAAGCCAAAGAGTCATTCCCCCTTTCATTTTCTAAACCAACCCCCTGGGGACAACTAAAGCCTCAGCCATGTGGGACCCCTGAAACAGTAATGGAGGCAATAGTAGGAGGGAACATGGAGATACAGTATCTACAGTGCCGTTGCCTATTAGGTATTCCTTACCAGGCTTATCACATCGTAATTAACAAAAATAAGTGAATTAAATACTTGCTCAACACATTTAATCAAAAGCACATGGCAGTGGTACTTACGGACACAGACATTGTTGCAGAGATTATTATTATTTTCTTTTAGTAAATCTCCACTCGTGGTTAGTCTGGATAATCCATTTAGGTCGACTTCAGATTCTCACGAACTTGTCTGTGAGCAGATAAGAGCAGGCTGTCTTGGCACAGCTGCATCTGGGGTCATCGTTGAGCTTCGACACCAATGCTTTTTCAATCGGAATGCTGTGTGCAAAAATACTACGCGTTAGTGCCTTCACAATATGATTAAAACAAACATCCCAGCGTCCGTGGGATCACTCTTTTAATGATAGCTTTAATACATGATGGAGACTTTCAACGCCCATCAAGCGTGAAATACGTGAAAAGAATCCTGTTAAGGCTAGTGTTAGCTTAGCTTGAATATGTGAGCCCATCTATAGTTGTCGCAAAAGACACGGGGTGACTAATACTAATAGGTCATACAGCCGCCTGCCCACTTATAATTGCATAAAGATCCATCAAAATACTATGATTGGACGACGAAGCCAAGGTTCGCCCAGAGAAACTCAAAACAATAGCGCCGGACCAGAATATGTCGGATAAAATCAACTTGTAATGTATCAACCATTAAAACCGCAAAGGTTTCGAGAACGTTTACCTCGGCTCGTGTGTAACTGCTTGTTCTGGTACCGAGATACACTCCACGACAGCGAAATCATTTGAGGTGTGAAAATCTGGGACCATCAGCGTACGGTGTTCAATCATCATCGATGATGTCAACACTACTCTCTCCGCCTTCATAGGGGCGGATACAGTGTGCAGATATATAAAACAAAATGAGCCTGGATCACGTCACCACGCACGGTTTAGACTGATCCATTTTTATAGAGATCAAAACCACTTCCTTGAGTGATCACCGCACACGTCCCAGAAAATATTCGAACAAAAGGACAGTCTTAGTTAGTCTTGAAAGTTTGAAAGTACTAAACATAACTTTAAAACCGTGCATTCAGTTTGAGACAGGTGATAAGAACTGCGAATGTCAGAAGAAGTCTACACATGAAAATTCCAAAAATCGCTGTTTTGCATTATTATTATCAAAATATATCCATAGTTTTGTTTATAGATATTATTGCCCATAGTACACGATGTAGAAAAAAAAATCTCAGTAAGTACTTTGGGACTGAGTATTTGCACACGTGTGCTTTTATTATGAAAGTAATCAGGATCAAAGTTCTCGAGTTCCTCATTCAGTGTTTGCTCTTCTGACTTGAGTCACGTTATACATTTACCGTTTGTTTATGTAAACGTTTTCTCGATCATCCGTGGGTGAGCTTGTCTTTCGTTATAACTTTATTACAACGTTTATTTTCAATGAATTGAATAACAATCGTCCGTGGTTCTCCATAGTGACCTTTGCCCAGTTTCCCATAGTTTTTCTTTTAATGCTTTTGTCTTTGTTTAGGTGATGTTCAGGAGTGCTGTCAGGTGCCTTCAGATCTGTCCTGTTGTTGGGCAAAGAAATATGTCTAGCAGCCTTGCAGGAAAGGTGGCTATTGTCACTGCATCTACTGATGGGTAAGTTATATGCACACATTCGTGTCATTGTATTTTACTATCTTGTTTGTTCTAATCTGTTGTTTGAGTTCTGTTTGCCTTCCTTACACTGTATTTGTCTTGTATTGTATGTATGCTTATGTGCTAGACTGTTAGTTTGTTGTTATTAATATTACTATTGTTATAAATAATATACATACACATGTATAGTAAATTTGGTCAATATTTGTAATACTAATCTTGTTCCTAGAATTGGTTTGGCTGCAGCTCAAGCCTTGGGAAAGAAAGGCGCCCAGGTAGTGGTGAGCAGCCGACGGCAGGCCAATGTGGACAGAGCTGTGGCCCTGCTTCAAAGCCAGGATATTCAAGTGACTGGCACTACTTGTAATGTGGGCAATGGAGTGGACAGAGAAAAACTGGTTGAAGTGGTGAGTGAGATTTAGAAATTAATATTAAAAAACAAAACAAAAACATTCAACTTCAATAGTCATCACAAGAACGTTTTCTCATTGCTGATGTTTTGTTGCTTCTGAAAAAACAAAAAACCAGTACATATACCTTACACATCCACAGACCCGACTCAGACTTTTCCTGGAGGAAGTCCCTTTACTAGTTTAGGAAATTATATCGTTTTAGTTGCGTTTTCATATTGTGAAAGATTGTATCTAATTTTATTGTTCTTATTCCATAGAGTGATGTAGCTGACATGCAGAAAGTTGCCCCTTTTTTAAATTTACTATTTTATTTCTCTACATCAAAACAGTTAATTTGTTGACGGTAAACTATGACCTGGGAATTGGGAGCTGGTTTTGGTTCCAAATTGAAATTTCGACCTGTTAGTCTATCCTCTAATCTTCCTTCCACAGCCTAATTTAAGAAGTATGACTATTAACATTTGGGATCACAAGTGATATCATGATTGGATGCAAAAATTAAAAAATAGTATATTAAAATTAATCTATAAAGGAGTCTTAACTTTAATTGTTTCTGACCGGAAGTTTTTTAACCCAAGAAAAACATGGACACCTGTGTTAGAAGGAAGAAAAGGATTCAAATCTTTAATTCCTGCTTTTTCTGTGACAATTGTGTAGACTCTTCAAACATATGGTGGCATCGACATTTTAGTATCAAACGCAGCTGTCAATCCTTTCTTTGGAAACACTCTGGACTCTACGGAGGAGGTGTGGGACAAGGTATGAATAAACTAAAAAAGAATTGTTTTCATGTCCAAAATGTGAAAAAACCCTCATGTGGCCTGTTTTGTAGATTTTGTCCATAAATGTCAAAGCATCTTTTTTGATGACCAAATTGGTGGTGCCTCACATGGAAAAACGAGGGTAAGCAAGAAGGGAAATCCCATAATATTGATAAATCTATGCTAAATTAATTCTGCTGTCTTGTTTTGTTGTTAGGGGGGGGAATATAGTGTTTGTTTCATCTGTAGCTGGATATCAACCAATGCCGGTAAATACTGTAGACAAAGGAATGTTGACTATACTGTAATTTTGGAGTGTTGGAAGTAACTAATTTTATGCACAAAAATACCTATTTGAGTTCATATTAAGGGTAATCTATACTTTGATTCAGTTTTATAGGGTGGAAATTAGCCCAAGGTTACAAACAGCACTTCTGTTCAGTAATGCACACAAACATAAATAAATAAATTAGGAAAGACGTGGCCTTCAGAGAACACATCAATTCCAATCTATTAGGACATCCCAAATCTAGTTTAAGGCAAAAATAGGCCTGCATTATTTCTTTGGTTTATATGAGGATTTTTCCAAAAGTCAAATGTGTGGATTACAATGCAAACAAATCCTATCAATAATTGGAGGAATTAATTTAGCTTACTGAAGAATGAACTACTCCAACTAAATACATGTTAATTCTTCCCATCTCTGTTATTAATAGACATTTTCTTCCAGGCTTTGGGTCCTTACAGTGTGAGTAAAACAGCCTTGCTCGGTCTGACTCGAGTGCTTGCCCCAGAGCTGGCCCCGAGTAACATTCGAGTTAACTGTGTAGCACCTGGAATAATAAAGACTCGCTTCAGTTCAGCTGTAAGAATGAAAATACAGACGGTTTTTTGTGTTTGTCACAATTTGTTGACAATATGTTTTTGTCTTTTTCTTTCCAGTTGTGGGAAAACGAAGATGTAATGGATGAGTTTAAAAAGCAGCTCAGTATCAAAAGGTACAATTTCAATAAATAATATCTCTCATTGAAGTCACATAAATGAGTTATGACTTTTGTTGATAGTTTATGTGGAGCTGTCCATGGTGCAGGGACACTGCACAATCTTAATACCAAGTTAAGATTTCAGCTGTGTAGATTATACATATATTTGAGGTGTTTGTTTTGGTCCTGGATCCTTCTATTAGAAAATAAACTTAAATATTTTGTATACTTGGTATTGGTACCGCAAAATGTGTTAAGCGTTTTTTTTTCTTCATCATCTTTCTTCTGCTTTATCCAATGCTGGGGTAAGGGGACAGCTGTATGAGACACCCAGACTTCCCTATCCACACAAACTTCCTCCAGGGGATTCCTGAGGCGTGGTGCATGTGTTTAATACTATTCTTCTTTGTTTGCAGAGCTGGAAACCCAGAGGAAATTGGTGGAGTGATTTCATTCTTGTGCTCCAATGAAGCGTCATACATTACAGGAGAGACGATAACTGTGACTGGAGGAATGAGTGGTCGACTTTGAACTGCTCTTTTTGATACAATTTTTTATTTTCCACTCAGATAAAATTATGTATTTAATGCATAGTAGAGTAAAATCTAATGGATAACCAAAAATGTGTGATGTTGATTTGATATGAAAGAATAAAAAAGGTATACATATTACATAATAAACTGTTTATTTGAACATAGTCTACATTTCACACACAACGCACATAAAAATGACATGGGAATAAAAAAGCATTAACACGACTTGCATAATTACAGTACATTTTCGCACAATCAGAAGACAATTATAACATACTGAAATCTGGGGCATCAAAGATAAAGGCCCATTACCGCTGTTTACAATGAGGAACAAACAGCGTGCGCCTCTCTGCACGAGGTTTCCAATACTCCCTCAAAGTAGGAACGTAAGTGCCATGCTTGGTTTTGCAGTAACGTTTGGCAAAAAGCTGTAGAAACAATTGTGAAAGTTTATTGACAATCTTTTCTCAAATAGCAATTACTTAACTACCAAAAAGAGTCTTACCCGTCCTTTAAAGTTTTTTGTTCCTTCATCTTCAGAATCTGCAACATAATCTTCATTTTCTCCAGTCAGGTTTTGCTGTTCTGAAAAAATAAATGAAAACAATTAAGACATTGGCGGTCTTTCCATCTTTGCTGATCTGTGTATACATTACCTACGCTCTTGTGTTGTGACGATGATCCTTGTGAACTAGGGTGGTTTGGAGTATTTCTGTGAAAGACATAGCGCCTTGAGAATGAAGGTAAGATTTCCATGTTTGTATAGTGGGCGTCAATAATGGAGGTTAAATAAAACAAAACAAGTTATTGTACTTGTACTTTGATTTTTTTTTTAATGAATGAAATAAAAAAAGATTGCGAACTGTATGCACAAAAAAAAATCATGTCTTACTCTTTATTCTCTGTACTGCAGACACGAGGGTTGTTCCTTTGGGTTTGGGTGCTCACACTGCTGCGTTTGGCGATTGGTCTCAGTTTTGTAAGATTATTTTCTTGATCACAGGCAGCCGTCAGCAATAGCTTCTCTATTTTCACTTTGGGTTGACTTTTTAAGCAGGAAATCCATATGGCGCAGAGGGAGTCGTTATCTGGAATATGAGGTTTATTCCATCCTATTTTATTCAAGCAGGTTTTCAGCATCTCCCCATTCTGTACTGGTATTTCTTTTGGTTTGCATGCGTCACTTATTTGATGTGACTTTGTGGTTGCCCTTCTTTTCACAGCTCTGGCTTTTCTGAGTACGTCTTCCTGATCAGATTCATCATCTCCATCTTCAACAAGTTTTCTTTTCTGTCCATTCCCTATATCAACCTGATGACTACTCTCTCCGACTTGCTTTTCTTTGACCCCTGTATATTTACAATTAGATTCTGAAAGACTTTCCCAGTATTCATCATTGTCTTTAATAGCCTCACTGCTCCGTAAACGCTGAGAGGCCGAGATCATGCATGGAACCTTATCATTCGATATTAGTCCGAATACAGGTTTGATAAACGGTGTTTTGTGAGAGGACTCGTCTGTGGGGCCAAATTCTGTTGCTTCATTTGATGGCTGTTTTCCAGAGGGTAGAAGGGAAAGCGAAGCAAGGATGGAATCTCCCATATTTGGAGGAAGAGCGGCTTTAAACATAAAAAGAAATGTTGTAGTTATGCCGAACAAAAGTTCGGGTTCCAGAAGACTTTATAGAAGTGCATTCACCTGCTGTCTCCAGGTGACCAATGCAACTCTGATGCTGAAGAAGAACCTTAAGAAGCTGTGGCTGTGTGGCTGCCCGAGCACACTCCTCCAAGACAGGTGGTGCCTCGCTGAGCCATGACACAGTCTACGAAACACATTTGTTAAAACCAAACAAAGTTCTTTTGTAGTTAGATGTGGCTACCTGTGCTAGATTTGGAACAGGAAGTAGAGTGTCTAAACGGATCAAAAACTCCCAGAGCAGCTTCTCCAATTCCTGGTCATATTTTGGTCCAAACTCAACTGGAAATTGTTCCTGCAAATTACAAAAATGTCCACATTGAGTGCTGTAGCTATATGTTAACACAATAGGAACCTACACACTCACCTTATAAAACGTGTCCCGTTTTGTCTTGTCTGTAAGCAACTCTTGAACTAGCCCATGGAAGTTTTCCACAGCCTCTTGAATTTTAAGATCCCTTTTCTGGATAACATGCCACATGAAATATAGATTATGTTAAAACACATTGTAATATATGCCAGACAGGCCTTGACATTTGTCAGTCACTTGCCCTTTGGGCAAGTACCATTTATATTTTACTTGCCCAATGTCAAAAGTTACTTGCCCAAATATTTATCAATACAATAAGTTAACAAGAGATTGGCAATATAGTGGCACTAACTGTGGAAAAAAATCCACTCTCAGCAAAAAAGTCAAATGACGACTCACAGGGCTCTCTAGTATGCAAAATAAAAAACAAGACGCCTCTCGTGGTGTGTTCTGTTTGATTTGTTCACATTTTACTTTTGTGCACAACCAAGATACATTTTTAATGCAAGGGGAGATTTAGGTACCCAGGGCTAAACATTAACGGTTGTCCGCTTGCCCAGGGCAACTAAAGATTTGGGATGGGCAAATTAGCATTATTAGTTTTAGCAAGTTGCCCGACCGGGCAAGTGATGTATTACTTTAACCCATTCAGGCCGCGAACACATTCGAGATAATAATAATTATTATTATCTTTTTTTGACCAATTCTCTTCAGACTTTTCTACGGATCCACAATTTCCGACCTTTTTTCTGCTGAAAATGTAATTTGTGTGAAATGAATTACAGCGGGAACTTTCTGTTTGCTGTACGGACTCAAACGGAATTTGCATCCTCTGCTCTGACCCCGGGAGCAGCTGCGTCCGTTTTGTAATGACAGCCGCTTTGGCAACAGCTCAGTGAACGCAGAGCCATAACGTGGTACCGAGCGCGGACCATAGACACGTGGATAGAACTAAGTGCAGGTCTCCCCCGTGTCTCCTACCTATGCGCAACCAAAACTCACGAAATTAAAGCTCAGGTACGTTGACATGTTGAATTGAAGCTGTGCTCCAAGGAACTTACCATATTTACAACCGAGGAGGAAGGGGAGACATTCACTTGAATCCGTTTCATATGCACCGCAATGGTTTTTGGGTCAGGCTCCTTAAGGCACAACTCCAAGATGAACTAAACACAAAATAACATGACATGAGAACAAGTGTAATTGATCAAATCACTTCTAACACCTACCCGTGCTCTGAATCCCAAGGTCAGTTTAGCTTGGTGTCTCAAAGTGAGCAGTCCAGGAACTGTGTCACAGGCAGAGGTCACAAATTCCTCCACAATCCCATACTGCAGCACGTCCCTCTCCTTCATCACTTTCCACAAAGCAGCGGACACCAACCGCACAGGAGGCGCCAGCAGCTTCAGTGCTGCGAAAGGGAGACTGTTCTGACCTGTGCAGGAAAACCAAAGCATGGTGAAAAAATAGAAAGTGTCTTTTTAACTGTTTGGCAACTGCCAAACCTGCCATTTGCTCTTTTTACTCTTTTTTTTATGTTTTTAAGTGCAAACAATAACAACATTAGAATGATTCCAAACTTATGGTACTATGTTGCTATTAGCCAAATACATGTGTCTTCGCATGCAATAATGCATGCGAAGTAACATGTTCTGCGAAAACCAAATCATCAAATCGATTGAAAACACTTTCATTCTACCCTCCTCTGTCTGTACCCTTAATCAAGCGCAGAGTCTGACATTTTAATAAAAATAACAGTATTTTAAGAGTTTAATTGATTCTAAGAACAGCACGCCAAAGTCCTCATCCCATAGAGGTCAGCTTTAAAAAATGCTCAGAAACCAAGTGGAACATCTGGATGAGCCTCAGTAGTGTCTGTGACCTCTATGTATACAATCCCTACTACATCTACCCATGACCTAAACACGCTCCTGATGAGATGACGGATGCTCTACAGAGGGATTTGGAGGGATCCTCCCAGACCAGTATCAGTCATCAGTCAGCTCCTGGGCCATCTGTAGTGCCATGTAACGCTGGTTGGTGAACCAGGCATAACGTCCCATATGTGCTCAACTAGATTCTGGTTTGGTGAACGAGCAGGCCAATCCTACATCAATGCCTTCATCATGCAGGAACAGTTATTATAGATCCATGAACAGCAGGCACAGTCCAGCCCATCATCAGGCTGGAGTGTGACCTCCATGATAGTTTCCAATTAGTATTCTCCCTCTATTCTGTTCACAATATATTATTTTAATTAACTAACAAATACATAATTATGACTGAATGATCCCATTCATCAAGCTTTAACAGCTGAGATTATAAAATTATGGATCGGCAAAAAATAGACACATCAAAATTAAAATGACATCATGAGTAACAGACAGAGTGTCTCTCACGTACCGTTTTTCTCCGGATTTCTTGTAGCCATCCTGCAGTTGGAGATGTAAAGTTAGCTTGCGGTGAGTCAGCTAACACCACAACAACCCGTTTCCAGAGCAAACTCAACCAGGTTCAAAGCTACGCATCGAACAAAATGTAACCACTACAGCACAATCCGGAATTTTGGTTTACAAAGACAATGTAAAGGCCATCAAGTGACCATAGAGAGTTAACTGGTGGTTTTGATGCAATGCTCCGCAAACAAAATAACAAACTTCAGTCTTCCATCCTCCCGCCTTCGATTAAGCGGAGTGGAATACGTCACGACTACGTTCCGTAGGGGCGGTGTTACGTTTGTTTGCATTAGCAGTACGAGTGTCCGCACGGTCCCAGAACAAGAATCAAACGCATCTCGTCCAAAATCGTAGCAGGAAACCCGTCCTGAACCGCGAGCGGGCGCTTCCGCATAATAAATAAATACACAATGATAATAATTATGATTATTATTATTATTTCTGTTGTATTTGTATGACAAATACAAGTAAATAAACAATGATAAATATAGTAACACAACACTCTACACTAAAATCATAAAATATTACTGTATGCAGCATCCCATTTCCAGTTTGGGACACCCAAAAATTCTAACTATTGTAGATTATAAATAATTGATAGGTTCCTAATTAAAGTATTATCTCACTACAATTATGATGTTATCATATAATGAAACAAGAGTTGAACTTTGATTTAAGCCTTTCTTTATCATCATGTCTGGTGCAAAGTCCATCAGCTCAGTACTCAGCTCTTCCAAGTGGTAATATCAAACACAAACAACTCAGAGAGCAAGAGAAACAATGGATTCCACGTCGTCTTTTATTAAGTAAGTCTCTCACACAGGACTTTTTGTAGTGCTTTTTGTGACGGTATATACACGGCAAAATCTTCTAACCAACATATTGTCTTTCATTTTCATGTCATTCTAGATCTGTAACCAAGAGAGTATGGTCTCCAACACAGCGGCCCTTTAGGGTCTGCTGTTCCAAAAGGGAGATCAGGAAAGGAGTCACTGCTGGAACTCTAGAGGAGCTAAAAGAGAGAGTGAGCTATAATGCACAGTAATTATAATGTTTTGTTTTATTTATTCATATATCTTCTGCCCCAGGTTTGTCAGGCATTGCTGCTTTCCCTATCGGCTATGTCTTTGTCTCTAGTTTGTGAAGAAGATGGTACAGAGGTGGATTCAGACGAGTTCCTTATCACACTGCCAGACAACACCATGTTTATGGTGTTAAAACCGGGGCAAAACTGGAAACCTCTTTCTGTATGTATTAAACATCTCCCTAATCAATGCTCACTAGGCACAAAGAAAGTAACAAGTAACAGGGCTAATAATGAATTGTTTAATTGCAACTAATCTGATTATTATTGAGACTCAAAGAAACCTGGTGTTTCTTGAAATATAAATAGAATGTCCTTCACTACAATTATATTTAGATAAAACCTCATATCTCGTTTTACCAATTTAACAAATAATCACTACATTATATATTATGATTTGCATATGATTTGTTGCAGAATTAAACCTTGCATTGTCTATTCAATTAAATTTCTTTGATTTGAAACATTCCAATTACAGTGCAATAATGTATAAACTAATGTATATAGTAAACATATACAGTGAGTCTAACCATATAAAATTATCTTTCTCACAGGGAGCTGTGGCTAAAACCCCCAGTAAGCCTCACAATGGTAAAGACATTGCTCGTGTTACTTTTGACCTATACAAGATGAGCCCGAGGGACATGTTTGGCTCCCTGAGTGTGAAGGCAACTTTCCAAGGCTTGTATTCAGTCAGTGCAGATTTCCAATGTCTCGGACCAAAGAAAATTCTTAGGTAATACAGTAAACAGCAGAAACATTGTACAATTTTATATTAATTCAATTACTCAATTTGTTTGTTTAGAGAGGCTCTCAGGGTTGCATCGGCTCTACTTCAGGCAGCAGGACATCTGCTTCTAACCTCTGCTGCAATGATTCGTCGCATCATTGAAGGGGTTGAGCTTTGGCAGCCACAGAGACGGGGAGAGTACACCGCCACTTGGAACTGAGACCACCAAAGTTAATTAAACAACATGCTGCTCTTAATAAAAAACTATCTGTACAAATGGACATAAATGGCCATTATGTAGTTTAACTACAATTTGTACTTATTACCAAACAGTTTATATATGAAATGTGATTTATTGATGATATATAAGCATTCTGTACTGATGTTGGTTATCCTATCCGTAGAATTCTGTATGTATCACAAATAATCATAATTCCATGTGTTTGGTTAAAGATTTAATATATTCATTTTATAAAGAACAATAAAGTGTAAAACTGGGCATGAACTTAATAACACTTGTCTTTATCCTAGTGTTCACAGAACGTGTTAACCTTTGTTATTTGGGAGGATTGCAGGTTGCTGAGCCCTCATCATTTTATTCTCAGCTTGCGGCTTGTTTTCTGTTAATTCTTCATGAGTAAAGGCGTCTGTGACGATAAATCCTGGGCCAGGAAATCAACAGATGGACTTGAATCAAGAGCTTCGTCTGGAATTGCAAACACTTCACCATCAGTTTGCTCAAAAGGTTGGATGTGCTGTTTAGTACAAAATGTCTGGGATCTTTCCTGGGATGTCTCAGTTTTAGGCCATGGCATTAGGGAATTGGCTTGAAGAACTTTTCCCTTCTCTCGCTTCTTTAACGCGGATTTTCTCATTGTTTTCTTTTTGATTACACATGGGTTACTGCTAAACTTTTGTTCTGCATCTTCACTGCTTAAATTGGGCTTTTTCATGGTTTCATTTCCATTTGCTCCATTGGGCATTTTTCTCTTAGATGTAGTGCTTACAAGCATTTTTCTTCTCACCTCAAGGATGTCTTTTGAGTCCCAACTGATCCCATAACAGAGTCTCTGTGCCATGAACCACACTTTTACCTGATCAGGGAGCAGGCAGCAGCTCTTAGCCAGGGAGATGGTTTGCTTCCGCGTTAAATATGGGAATCTGCTGAAGGCTTCATTAAGTTTGGCCAATTTGTCCGCTTGAATATTAATCTCATCTGAATGTACCCAAATAATTTTCTGATTTTCAGATATTATTGGGAGACATAAGGTGCCATTTTGGTTTTTTTGGAAAGCTCCAGGGGCGAGCGTAGGTTGTGACACAGCCTTCTGACCAGTGCTGTGAGAGGCGATGGCGAAGTGTTTGTTGATCTTCAGCCTCATGATTCTAAAGTTGATCCTATAAGACAAACACATTGAAACAGTTATGGCAAATAACAGTTTAGCGAGTATAGTTATTTCAATCAATTCTGGCTGTTATTAAGACTTGCAATGTTTTGAGCTTCAGTTAAAAAAAATCTATTTCTGTTTATTTCATATTCTATTGCACTGGTGTATGCATTTAAACCAGGGGTATACAAACTCAGGCCCGTGGGAAAATTGCGGCCCTCTGTGTATTTTTTTTGGCCCTCTGCCGCTAACACAGTCATCTTTGAAATCATATTAACCAGTTCACAGTATCATCCAGCCAACTTCAACTCAGCAAACACAGGCACGCGTTACTTCATTGTGAAGCTCAGGATCTATGGAATTCAGTCGCTGATTTTGATTGATTGTACTGACATTTTGTGTATGGCACTAATGTATTGGGTGAGTACACGTTTATATGAACCAATAGACATGCCATACCTCATTATAAAGGTATATAGGAGGATTTTCCCAGATTTTAGGAAAGAACCGCCCTCTCCACTTTTTGAACAAAACTCTCTGGTCTTATTTTGACGAGCACGTATCACCAGAATGACATCCATGATTGCAAGGACCAATAGTCTTGATGGTCCACCCGGAAATAGAAAATCCTCCTACATACCTAGAACAGAACACGGCCCTTGTGCAATTTTGGTGAACGTAATACATAGTTCCCACAGACCAATGAATGTCACATGACCTCCTCGGAGACGCCATCTTTGATGGCACGCTGCTGTGTTTGTGCATTCCATTAAACAGAAGAATGAGAATAAATTTAGATATTCAAACGCAAATTGGAAAAAAAGGGCAACTTTTGAGCAAATAATTGTATATTAATACAATGGCACCACAGTTTAACGTGCTACGGACATGTTTTACATATTTGATCAAATTATGCAGCAAAAATTAACAAGCAATGCAAACATTTCTCAAAAACTTTAGATTTAATACCAGTTGGAGCTCCATTTAATTATTTTAATTATATTAACAATTAATTTAATTAATGCTAATGCCACACGGACACTCTGGATTGCTGTTATTGTTTATTTCCGCGTTTTTGACCGTATGTTTTGGTGAATGGTGGGCAACTGATTTTTCCAGGCGTAAAGAGCAGTTTATTTTATGACACAGATCTTTTTACAGAAGCAATTCTGTTTGTGAACATTGTTTTAGCCCACCATAGAACTATTATTATCTATTTAATACATTTACGTTGCCCTCGAGAGCCTCGGACGCGACACCGATCCTCCTCATAATAAAGTTTTCTAACGCTAAATAATGAAACTCTCAAGTTACCAGCTATCAGCATACACAAGTTAGTACTGAGTAAATTACGTCTGTCAACACATTATAAGATACGATACGCACCTGACACAAAGTGCTCCGAGCATATTCTTGCGTGTTTTGAGGGAGTTTCTTGCCTGTTTATCTTCGCAAGCCATAACCTCCGTGGTTGTTCTGACAAAAGCTTAGTCTTCTCACATTCATGAAGTCTAATGATGGGTATACTGTAAAATCCAAGTTTAACAGAACCTCCGGCACGATTTGAACATCCATTGACCCAGCAGGAGATGACCATTTTCAACTTTATCACGACATTAACACGTTTCAGCTTCTTTTTCTATTGTTTTGCCCACAGCATGCCAACACAAATGGCGCCGGGTCGGCAAATCCCCGTATGTAGTGACGTCATGTAGGTCAACTGTAAGTCAAGAACACATTTTACTAATTAAATCCTTCTAACTTTATATTTCAGAATCTTTGTCCTGCTTCCGCAACATAAACAAACACCCTGACAAATGTGATAAATTATAAGAACTTCGTTAAATAAATAAATACATATTTTTGTCTCACGAAGAGCGCTTTATGCTAGCATCATGTCAGCACATCGACTCCCCTTTCCTTCCTCACATGGTCAAATCAATGTTAATGGCCAGATCGTTTCTTTTTTATAACACGTATGAACATTTTAATCATCCGATAATCCTACTTTATTGGCCACGTGCAATCTTCATCCGTGTCATGTGGTTCACGTCAAAGAGGATCCAGGTGGAATCTGTGGTCTCCGGGTCCAGTGGTTTGATCCCACCCCCTCACTGACATTTACCGCTTCAAAAGTTGTGTTATAACTTTTAGCGGTATCTTGTCTACGGTCTACGATATTTAATAAACCCACTATTATAATGTCGGTTATTATAATAACGTTTGTTATTATGATTTGGAACAATACCAGTTTGCACCATAGACTGTAAAGTTTGCACACACACCCCACAAATACTCCACAAACTTCAAAACTAAACCTTAAATCTCATTCAGCGATGAAAGAGCTTTAGTCAAAACCCTATATCAGATTATCTAAATGTAGGAGGGATTTGAATTTCCCTCTGCAGAGGCTATGGATTCATAATAATTACAGTAGGCTATGTAAAATATCTATACATAACTGAAATTTCCCCACTGTGTGACGAATGAAGGATCTCTTATCTTATAAAATAGTATTTTACACGTAATCTCCAATATTTAAAATAACATAAGGAGGGATAAATAATGTGAATGTGATGTTTATGATTTTTTAAAAGTGAAGATTAGCCTGGTGAGAAGGAGACCACATGAAAGGATGTTGTCCAACCAGGACACTCTTTATTGTTTATGTTGTTGATCAGGTTGATGACATTGATGCTTCAGGATATTGTTCCATAAATGACTGTACTGGAATAAAATTCACACACCCATAATACAATACCTCAAGAAGGATCAAATTCAATATGTACCGAGCATTAGTCCATGAGAATTTAATGGGAAAAGACCATTTATTTTAAACAGAAATCCCATTTTAGTATTTTAAATTGAGGTTGGTTGGTTATATCTTAAATGTGTTTTTCAGAGTTCTAACTAAAATCATACTTCGTTGCTCCATTCTTTATTGCAGAACTAAACTAGAAAACACCCGTTGGCTTTTGTTGTGTTATATTTGATGAAGAAAGAATGTTTATTATGATGTAGAAGTATTTGTGAAGGAAATAGTATTTTATTATGGTTTTGTCTCCCTCTAGAGGTTGATAAACAGATCGCGTACTTTTGTTAAATCAAAATAGTATTCAGATGTTGATCATACTGCACAAGCTTTATTATGCATCAGCTGATGAAACATCATACAGAAGACATGGAGAGTAAAATATGCAAAACAAAGGATGCCTTTTTATCATTTTGACAATATATTTTTTTAAGTGCAACTCAGTTTAAACACTTTTTTATATGGCAGTGATTTATGTTTTTAACTTATATAATTTATATTTTATTTACCTTTCTTGTCCTTAGTTGAGTTTAAAATAAATGATTTACACACAAAGAATGCAAAAGACTGTAATTAGTCTTTGGACCCTGAACCGTTTTTTCAAAATCATACAGCAAGGAATAAAAAGTAAAGGGAATGCTTGCATATATTCTCAGTAAAAATAACTTGACATTTAGCTATTGCCAAAGACAGTATTGAGCTGCTGAGTGACTCTAATGAAGGTGGTCCTACGACTCAACTCCTTCAATTTCCCTGCTCCAACATATGTGCAGGTTGAGCGGACGCCACCCAGGATGTCCTTAATCGTCTCATCCACGGGGCCTTTGAATGGGACCTCTACTGTTTTTCCTTCTGAGGCTCTGTGGGCAAATAACAATACTTTACACATTGTTGCAACACACAAAACAACCTCAGATTTAATTGTGTGCCATCCCTAGTGACATGTTAGATATGAGCTTATGTTATGGTCAGCCTAATGGACATGGCACGTCATTAGAAGGTAAACACATCTCACTGACCTGAGATGTCTGACTCAAATAAACGAGAAAAGTCTAACATACGTAACTAAAGACAAGATGAAAGTATTTATAGACTCTACAAGCTCTGCTTTACATCAAAAGTTGTACCTGTAGTCCGCCACACCTCCGGCATGTTTTTTCATAGCCGTGTCAGAGCTCATTCCATAAAAAAGCTTGAATTTCTTGCCATTCTTCTCAATAGTTTCACCGCCACTCTCAACGTGACCAGCAAGCATTCCACCAAGCATCACAAAGTCTGCCCCAGCACCTTGAAATACCCAAAAAATAAACAGTTATTACAGCCACAGAACAATTTCAATATCCTACAAAAGGAAAAATACCAAAAGCTTTTGAAACATCTCCAGGACAAGTGCACCCTCCATCCTGTGTTGCAAGATTCAACTCAATTATTAGTGTTTAGGCATAAATTAATATGAATAATCATGTATAATAAAGAAATACAAACAGAAATAATATGTCCGCCCAGACCATGGGCTGCATCAGCACACTCAATGACAGCACTTAGTTGAGGATATCCGACTCCTGTCTTTTTACGAGTTGTGCACACAGATCCTGTAAAACATAATTATTAACATTTACAAACATTTATTATTACACAAGTCTTCAAAAGCATAGTTAGAAGTTACCTGGTCCAATGCCCACTTTGATTATGTCTGCACCAGCCAGGATCAATTCCTCTACCATCTCTCCAGTCACAACATTTCCTGCCTAAAACCAAACAGACATAATATCAGAATCCATATTGGCTGTATTTTTATATGTGGATGCTAACGGATAAACATACCATGATGGTGTGTGAAGGGAATTTATTTCGTACATCTTTGACAAAGTGGACAAAGTGTTCAGAGTATCCATTAGCCACGTCTACGCATAAATACTTCAGCTGGGGCACCGCTTCAACAATTCCTGAAATTCTATCAAAATCTCCTTCGCCAGTCCCTGTGCTGACGGCTACACTCTAAATCACAAAAATAAAAAATGTCAATATCATGAGCATTTAACTTTTTAAGCACAAAGAAATAGATTGATTCTCACCTCGATACATTCTGGGTGGGCCTTGGCAAACTCTTTCCAGTCATCAATAGAGTAGTGCTTGTGAACTGTTGTAAAAAGACTAAACTGAAAAAGAACAAAGCATAAACAATGTTAATGGAGCTAACAAAATTAAGGATATTTAGTGATTTCTAAAGCTATCACTGGTGGTAGAAAGGTGGGTTTTATGAAGTTTAGACTGACCCGGTGTAAAGCTAAAGCCATCTCAAAGGTCCCAACTGTGTCCATGTTGGCAGCAACGATGGGGATTCCGGAGTAGCTGCCCTTTGAATTCCTGAAGGTGAAGCTTCTCATTAAGTCCACCTGTCATTAGTAATTAAAAAGCATGCATATATTTACTATTTCTTATAGTAATAATTGAAAATTTCAAACAACTCAAAACAATGTCCCCTTCAAACAACAGTTCTTGAACTCGATGTGATATTTTTTAATATTTTTTTTACCTGTAGTACACAAAACATTAGGGGCTGACCGAGCGAGTTTGAGTTTTCGATGTGATATTGAACTGTGTTTTCTTCTTCGGAGACCAAAAATTATTTCTTGAGAATGTAAATACGTTTTGGCTTCAGTGGTCGAGGCAGGGCAGCCCAAAGGCTCTGTTAGATTTATTGGAACGAGTGATTGTTGTCACACAGCTGCATCGACAGGGCTGGATAATTGAGTCCAGAGGGATTGAAGAAACACAAGCGTTTGACTGGAAGTAACCGTGTATCATCCAGTAACTCAACTGATTTGTGACAGGTAGAAGGACACTGTAAAGGAGAAACGGGTTTATGGTCACCCAAGAATCTTACGAGACCTTGAATTGAGTTCCTCCACTTAATAAGATAAGATAATTCTTTTTTTTTTGGTCCCACAAGTGGGGAAATTTTTAATGTCATCAGCTGTGCACATTACATAAAGAATAAAGGGAATAAGAGAAATCAAGATCCCACATAACAAGCAGGATCAAACTATTTGTTAAATAGTTGACGTAAAAAATCCGAAGCCCTATAATTGCACTATGGGTTCAGGGATAACACACTGGTGGAGTATACCCTGTAGTCCAGCAGGTGTATTTACAGATTGCACTGTGCTTTAGCAGAAGAGAATGACCGGAGTAAACAAATTGTAAATGGCAGAGTAAATGTCATATTAATTATGTAGTAATAATAATAACAAAGTGAAGGATAGACCCAGCGTTCTCCATTGTACATCTGACAGCAGCAGGAAAGAAAGACCTGGTAAAGTCCCTGGTTCTGAATGATCTGTGTTGGGTTATATGTACTTAGAAATTCTTTGCATGCATAATTATTCATATATTTTCATATTTCCTATTTGCCAACAGTAAGAAATTGTCACTATTTCAGCAGCAAAATATACACACAGACACAGTTGAATGCAATGAGGAGCGCAGAATGACTCAGACATGGTCCCACCCCAGGGATATTGATCCAAATGAGTTCCAGTCTCCTGCAGAAGATGTAATCGATATCTCCTGCAGGACATTGTCAGATGCACTTCACAATCTGACCTGTTTCATTAAGCTACAACACTCCTGCGCTGGAATAGTCCAAGTCCGATATAAACAGTATACTTATGTGTGTGACCATTGTAACCCCAACGCCACAGGCTAATAATAGACTCTGGAAAAAGTGTTAGAATGTCGAGTGTGTCCCAGCATTTCTCCAAGAGGGAAGAAGCTGGAACATGGCCTTTTCCAAGGTGGCCAGAAGAATCAGGAATAATAATGTCAGGGTGGAAATTGTATTTGAACTGGTAACTTGCACCGATCTGCCTGTCATCTTCATGCTTACCATCCTGCTCTCAGTCGTAGAACAAGACCCTGAGATGTTTGTGGTGCCACCTGCAAAGAGAGATCTGTCAGACTTTCATCAATCTTTATTTTGTTATAGGCGCCTTTTTCAACACAGCTCAGCACAAAGCACTTCACGGTCCACATCACACAATGCACAAATCACATAAAAAACAAACACCAAAATCACCATCCAAAAATACTATCATCATATTAAAAACCATTAATACAGTAAAATCACACAAGGCACCTCTGAAGTTAAGAAGGGCAGGGCCTGTTAGAGCTGTGATGGAGACCATTGGAGAGGCTTTGACTGTGAAGTTCCAAACTGTTGTGTCCCTTCACCACACGGCCTATAAGAGTCTGGTGTGTTGTGTGAATGATTGGGTATGGAGTTAACTAAACATTGCTGATGAGAGTGCTGTGTTTGGTGTCCAACAGACATAAATAAATCTGCAAAACTTACACCCTTAAGAATGATAAGTTTCTTCAAGTGTTTTAGAAAAACTTGTTTGTTGTTTTGTTTATTTATTCATTTCAGGCATTTCACAGGAGCCAGCAGTCACCTCTTTTTCATCATAGTTTCCCAACAAAAATAAAAATAAGTAAAGCATTGCTACAATCATGAAAAATAAACTAAAAAAATAAACCAAAATATTTGCCTGAAAGGGAGTAGAAAGTAAGTAAGTAAGTAAGTAAAGTTTTTATTATATACCGCCTTTCACTGAGAACTGAGTCTCAAGCGGTTTTACAATTGTTAAATTTGGGCATTTGTCACTGCACTCCCACACAGAGATTGTGAGCGGGGTCGCCAGTACAGGAGGCACATTCCAGACACTATTGGACATATTTTTAGTGGTAGGGGAAAACCGGAGTACCCGGAGGAAACCTACCAAACACGGCGGAGAATCAAGCAAACTCCACTCAGAAATGTCCCTGGTCCCGACTCGGGGATTCGAACCCATTCGAACTCTTGCTGAGAGGCGATAGTGCTATCCACTTCAGCGCACCGTGCCGCCCAATAAAAGAAAAGAAAAAAGAAAAAACTTATTTAATCCTACCCCCTTAATATTATACAACAAAATGGTGCTACTTTTGCGAGACAGGCTATCAACAACTTTCGACTTCTGCACAATATTAACACAGAAAAAGTTGAGTATTCACATGTGGAGTTAAAGATAGTAACGCATCAGAGTTACATATGACAACGAGTAATACAGAACGAACAATGTAAGAAACAATACAAGCAATGGTAAGAGACAATACCCAGCAATGGTTAGAGACAATACCAGGCAATGGTAACAGAACAATACCACATGGTAAAACCATACAGCAATCGTAAGGGACAATACCAGCAATGGTAAGCGACAATACCCAGCAATGGTAAAGACAAAAACCAGCATGTAGGAATGACAAATACATGACACACAACACAATACAGAAGTACAGAACAATTAAGACTCCACTCTCTATATATTGTGACCATACCAGAATGTTTGTATAAAGTTTGAATCCTGTGAATTTTTGCATTGCTTGTATGGTGTGCATACCAGACTGTTCCATATTTCACACCTCGTACGATACACAAAAAGCTTTTTACGATATATCGAATTTTAGTAGTGTGAATCCCATCTAAATCCTTTCAGATTATGGGCTTGGTTCCTTCCGAACTGAGAAAAGTGTTGTAGATTAATAGGTAAATGATTTGTTAAAAAGCATAATAAAGGATTATAGTAGTATTTATTTTACAAGATCATTAAATTTTAGTAACATTTAGACTGATAAACAATTCATGAGTGTGATCTAGAAACCCAACTTATTTGAATTATACGCACTGCTACGTTTTTCTGCAACAAAGACTAATGGTTTATAGTGTTCTGGTAAGTGTTTCCCCACACTTCAACACAATAGTTAAAGTATGGGAAATCCCAACGTACAGTATAATGTACGGAGTAAATTGAGACGAGTAAGTTTTACTTTAATTTAGAATTGAAAGGCATTAGGAGATTTTAGTTTTTTTTATACCTGACGAGAGGTTTCCAATGACAATTTATTGTCGATTATAATTCCCAAGAATTATTTTCATTCACATTTCAATTTCCGCACCGTCGATAAAGAATTTTTGTGTCTGAATTAAATCTTAGGCTGCCAAACATCATTGATTTCGTTTTTCTATATAGAAAAAACGAAATCCAATTGAGACCCTGTAACCAATATTCTACATCAAATTGGTCTCATTGCTAAACAGTGAACATTCAATATTAATAATCTGAGCATGGTGACTCCTACAGTCTCTGATTCACTCAGTGTCATAATATATTCTATTTATACTGTAATGCGCTTTAACAATTTGAACCAAAAACTATGAGAAGAGCAGTAAAAAGAGAAGCATGCCTCAGTCATAAAAGGCAGTTGTCTAAGGTGTAAAGGCATGTCACTTGTCCTGAGGCAGTTGCATCGTGTGTGGCTTCAGTCTGTCTGCTGCTGGACGCCGAGCCTGTTCCCTGGACACTGTATCCTCACTGTGCTCACATTAAGTCACACTCATGCAAATATTACATCCTTCTGCCACACACCGACTTCTTCCACGTCTGCTCAGCTCACCTGGGTCATACTAGACACAAAACATTTTCATTTGGCTGGATCTGGACCTGTAAAGATTAGCTACTGAAAATGTTCAAGCCAAAGACATACAGTTCTGCAAAAACTTTTTACGAGTCAGGAGTTTTTTGACACATGTACTTATTTTTTACATTAATGCCCTCCCTGGCCAATCATTTTCAAGTATGAAAATACAAACATTCTCTAAAAAGACCAATTGGTCTGATTTGTTCAAAATACTCTTAATCAAGCAACAGTCTGTTGGGACAAACATTCCTTATGAAAACAACAAACAAGTAAGGCACTCAATCGTTAAAAAGTTGATTATTTTCTCGAAGGTTATCACATATGAAAAAGGATGGAAGTGAGATAAACGAATGGCAAATGGCTAAATGGCAAACTGGGAAAGGAATAGTTACAAAGCAAAACATAATTTTAACAATCAGTAATTCATCGAAGTAAACATTTTCTCAATCAATTAAAATGAAATGCTAAAGTACATACTAAAACTAAATATGTTCTTCTCCCCTGCCTTGTGTCCTGAAAACTATCAAACAAGCATACAAACAATAAAGATTAAATGATATATTCTTGATTCACAGTGGGACTACTTTGTGCTGTAGTTTTTACCCATGTAAATGGTAAAATACAATTATTGTATTATTTTTTAAGTATCACAAATAAACTTTGTGAGTTTTTTTATATTGTTTTAATGGTTTGAAATCTAGTACCGCACCAGCTTTAAGAGATCACAGAATATGTGATAATAGTGAGTGGTACTTTTTTTTTTTTCTACCAAAGAAACCACATGTTCCTGCTCGAAAATTCATGA